GTTGGCGTGTTGTTATTAGCCGTGTGTGTGTCTGTACCTGCAGCTGCTTCTTGACCCTGTCGTTCTTCTGGGCCTCGGTGAGCCGCTCCTCCTCGCTGCGCTGGCTGCTGACCCCGGCGCTCAGCAGCTCGGCGCTGGCCTCCGCCATGCTCTCGTCCGGCTCGTCCGGCTCCGGCGCCGCCGGCGAGGTCGTGGCCGACTTCAGCTCCTCCCGCGTCCTATCCAGGTCCTCCTGCGCCGACAGGGCCTGGGGGGGGGGGGGTGAGAGCCAGAACGGACTCGGATAAAGGCTCTATATGTGTGTGTGTATGTGTGTGTTTATGTGTGTTTAGCACAAGAGGGTGTGTGTGTCTGTGTGTGTGTTTGGATATATGTCTGTGTGTGTGTGCGTGTGTGTGTGTCTGTGTGTATGTCTGGATATATGTGTGTGTGTGTGTGTGTGTGTGTCTGTGTGGGTGTGTGTGTGTTTGGATATACGTGTGTGTGTGTGTGTCTATGTGTGTGTTTGGATAACTGTGTGTGTGTGTGTGTTTGGATATGTGTGTGTGTGTGTGGATATACTCTATGTGTGTGTGTGTGTGTTTGGATATGTGTGTGTGTGTGTGTGTGTGTGTGTTTGGATAAATGTGAGTGTGTGTTTGGATATGTGTGTGTGTGTGTGTGTGTGTGTGTGTGTGTGTGTGTGGTAGACATGAAATAACTGTGTGAAAGGTTAAAGTCCTCATAAGTTATATAAACCAGATAATGTCCCTATATGTCGCATAAAAAAATAGATGTGATCAAAAGTTGGCTCTAGCTAAAATCTCAATAGATGAAAGCTTTCCTGAATGCATGGATTGGAAACTCTGGGATTCTTAGACCTGTAGAACCTTTGGAAAGGCCCCTCCCCATTTGTCCTATTTCAGTCATACGTCCTTATATATAATGAAAACACGTATGTGTGTGTGCGTGTTTGGATATATGTGTGTGTGTGTGTGTGTGTGTGTGTGTGGGTTTGGATGATTGCCTGATAAATATCACCTGTGTCTGCCCATGTTGTTTGTTTTTTGTGAGACAGAGGGTAGATATTTGGTGCCGATATTTTCCGTTCACAGCAAAAGTACTCACAAATCAACAGCCAAAGCTGACCTCCAAAGTATATTTAGCTAGTTCATTTACAATCGTGTCACAAAGTGTGTTATGCTGAAAGAGTCAAATAAAAACCCTTCAGTCAGTATTGGATTAAATAGTCACATTACACCGGCCTCAGAGTTCCTCTGACTCCATCTTGGGCTAATTTCTTACAGCCAAAGCCACGTTTGGATCAAAGCTGTTAGCCTCATTAAGGTGGAAAAAACTTGAAAATAAGAGGTTACTTTACTTTGTGCTGCCACTCTGTAGCTTCGTCCTCTTTTTTCCTCTTTGCCTCCTCAAGCAGAGCGATTTTGGCCGTGAACTCTGCCAGCTCCGCAGCCTGTTGGGGGGGAAAAGACGATTATCAGAATCAGAATCAGAAATACTTTAAGAATCCCAGAGGGAAATGATTTCATTATTAGCCCGCTGGGGTGGAGGCACACCTGAGTAAGGTGCAACAACCTGTTCAAACTAAAATACTTTAATTAAAAGTGGAACATCTGGAAAACGCTTGTCTGACATTTTGTGGTGGAACCTGACTTTTTATTTGTTTTTAATGGGATAAATGGGGTTTGTGTGGTCAGTTTTCTCAGTTCTGTGGATTTCCCTCTAGTCTGGAGGTCTTCAACAGGAGGTCTGCGACCCCTAGGGGGCCCTGGAGGTATTGCATGGGGCTCGCAAAAGTTTTGGTTGATTAGACTTTTTAAAAAATTTTATATCCCACCCTGCAATTTTTTCCACTAATGTAAATGTCTTTAAATCCACATGAACATGAATCCAACAGACTGTAGTAAACAGATAAATGGGGGCATCTATCTATCTATCTATCTATCTATCTATCTATCTATCTATCTATCTATCTATCTATCTATCTATCTATCTATCTATCTATCTATCTCACAGGAGCTCTTTCAAGCTGGGCCCCGTTTCATTCACAACACCTGTCCCACCAACCAAGAACCAGCACCAGATGTTTACAGTAAAAACAGGAATAAATTAACCTGTGATTATCAGAGGATCTTAGTCCTGAATGCCAAATAACAAGGTACATTTACACACTTGTTTTAGGGCGTTTTTAGGTTGTTTTCTGCCTTTTTCTGTCTCTTTCTGTCGTTTTTCTACAGTTTTTCTGGCTCTTTCTGCTGTTTCTCCTATTTTTTCTGCCTTTTTCTGTTTTTTTTCTGCAGTTTTCTGCCTTTTTCTGTAATATTGTATTGTGTATTCTGGATTATTCGATGATCTTAGTACTGAATGCCCAATAACAAGGTCCATTTACACACTATAGGACCAGTTTGATAGAACACAATTTCAGACTATATATATAATCAGGGGGTCCCCCTCCATCAGTTTGGGGTCCTTGGCCTGGAAAACCTTGAAAAGGATAATGGCTCTGGGCTCTTTCGGGCTAAACTGACCAGTATCTGGTGGTAAAGCGAGGGCGGGGCCTGAATAAATGAGGCTACCAGCTGTTCCTGGTTCTTCATCTGGTCGGCGGCCTGCTGGGCCAGGGCCAGATGTTTACAGTAAAAACAGGAATAAATCAACCTGTGGATTATCTGAGGATCTTAGTACTGAATGCCCAATAACAAAGTACATTTACACACTGTTTTTAGGACGTTTTAAAGGTTGTTTTGGGCTGCCTTTTTCTGGATCTTTCTGTTGCTTTCTACAGTTTCTCTGGCTCTTTCTGCTGTTTTTCCTTTTTTTCTGTTTTTTTCCTGCTGTTTTCTGCCTTTTTCTGTAATATTGTATTGTGTATTCTGGATTATTCGAGGATCTTAGTACTGAATGCCCAATAACAAGGTCCATTTACACACTATAGGCCCACTTTGATAGAAGTGTGTGTCAGTTTGGGGTCCTTAGCCTGGAAAACCTTGAAGGGGCTAATGGCTCTGGGCTCTTTCGGGCTAAACTGACCGGTATCTGGGGGGAAAGCGAATAAATGAGGCTACCAGCTGTTCCTGGGTCTTCATCTGGTCGGCGGCCTGCTGGGCGAGGGTGGCCTTGGCCTCTTCGGCCGCCTGCCTCTCCTTCTCCAGCCGCTCCGCCTCTTCCTTTGCCCGCTTCCTCTCCTGCTCCAGCTCCAGGGCCTTCCGGGTCTGCTCCTCTAGCTCTGCGGGGGCAAACAGGCCTTTTTTTAACCTTCAGGGCAGTGTTTTTCAACCACTGTGCCTCGGTACACTAGTGTGCCGTTAGTGATGGTCAGGTGTGCCGTAGAAAATCATCCTATTTCACCTAATTGGTCTAAAAAGATTTTTTTGATAAGGAATTAATTATCTGCAAATAATATGCCATTTTTGAGTGTCTGTGCTGTTCTAGTAACTGGTGGCGTAATCATGTAATAATTCCTTATGACTAGATTTTGTATTTATTTTTGTATATTGAAGTGGACATGTTAAGAGCAATTTGAAATAAGAAATATAAGATATGATAAAAATACATTTTTGTGTTTATTTGATTCCTATTCAAGACACTTACGATAAGATAAGAATGAAATAAGAATAACTATAGTGTTACTATAGGCGGATACAGATTTGTTTGACTTTTTTGGTTGGTGGTGTGTCTCGAGATTTTTTCAATGAAAAACTGTACCTTGGCTCAAAACAAGGTTGAAAAACACTGCTTTAGGGGACGCTCGGAAATGCAAACCAGCCACAACGTGTGTCAGATTTAAAGGATTTGCATAGAAGGTCTCGTTTGGCTTTGTTTCTACTTCCTGGTTTGCTGGGTTTTTTTTCTTTGGACTGATCAAACATTAAATGTAAATATATGTAAATATATATTTACACTTCAGCTGGGACTTTTACTTCCTTTCCTTTTTGTTTTTAAATGAGGGAAAACGCCTTTGTGATGATCTGATAAGGATAAAAAAAAAAAAAACTCATCTTCCCAGCTTTTTAACCCTTTAAAGCCTGATCCAAGAATAAAACAAAACAGAAAATTACTTTTTTGTTTGTTTGAATTCCTTATTTGGCCTTTTAACAAAATATGTAAAAAGAAAAAACAGAAATACATTTTTTTATATTAATAAGCTATTACTATGCGATAAGTCAAGATTATTTTTTGTGTAGCTTTCTGCCCCCTGTTATCAGGTGTATGTGATTGTGTACAATAGGATTTTAAGCAAAGTTTTTACCATTAAATTATGCAAAAGGTGTCAGATGCAAAACATTTCATAAACCGTATCAAATATGATACATTTGGCATTACAGGGTTAAACACTGGTGCCTTAACCCTGTTCAGGCGCACCTTTCTGGGCTCTGTGGGTCTGCTCCTCGATCTGCCGCAGCCTCTCGATCAGCTCGTCCTTCTCCCGCTCTATCCGCTCCTTCTCTTTCTCCGCGTGCTCCCGCTTCTTCTTCTCGTTCTCCAGCTGTGCTCTGCCCAGACAACACAGAAGACGTCCGGTCATTTAACAGACATTTGCAGCCAGATCTGGGGGTGGAACAGGTTCTGTCTCATCACTTCTGAGCAGAAAATATTTAGCTGGTTCACTTAAAACACTCTCTTCTTTTTTTTTTTCCAATATATTTAATTGAATTTTCTCTTTTTTAACAACATGTCACGTCTGGTGTCTCGTCTTGTCTTGATTACCTATTGTGTACACCTGGGGTTCCCCTCCCTCATGTGTTTAAATAGTCCTCGTTTCCCCTTGTCTTGTGCGAGTGCGTTCTTGTCCGTTTCGTCTCTTGTCCGTCCTGTCCTTCGTCACCCCCACGCCAGGTTTGCTTTTGTCATAGTCACAGTCTTGTCACAGTCTTGTTAATCTTTATTTTGTTACTTTGTCAGTCATAGTTTTGCCTTAGTCTTGTTGTTCTTTATTTTGTTACTTTGCCTTTGCTGACAGTTTTCCACAGCCTTGATTTGTACTTTGTCTGGACATTCACTCGTCATGAGTTTTTTGTTTCAATAAACCTTGTTTTCCGTCATCTCCGCACCTGAGTCCTCCCTCCATGAACCACCCCACATGACACAATAAACCTTCAGACAACAAATTTAACATTATAACATGTACTTTTACACACTTGCTTTCATTTGAGCACTCACCATTCAAACCTGCATTCATTTAGTTCCAAGAATATACAAAACCCTTTAGATTAAGACAGAGAAAAATAACAAGGTAATATATGAATGGAAACTGTAGTCAAGACAGCCATTAATAAGCTCCACCTTAAGTCCCTGTGATCGTGTCTCTTTTTAAAAAAATTTTAATTAATTAATTTATTTTCCCTTTTTCTTATGAGAATCTAATGCCTGGTCTATAATTCTATAATGTCTATTATGACAGATACAATCATACTGAACTCTAAGTTTGAAGATCTAGCATAATTTTTGTTTCAACTTTAGTTTTAGTTTTTTTCCCCCTTCATGGTGTCTCTGAGTGAAGCTAAACTCAGAACAAACAGCCAATATGAGCCTCGACTGACCGCTGTCTTAATGAGTCCCTTTTTGCTGATGCATCTCAGTAATAAACCAGTTTAATGTCTTATTTGAAACGGGAGAAGCGCATGTTCAGTGCAACGCTGCCCCCTGCTGTCCTCACACGGGCGGAGGAAAAAATGACATTTGAATTGATTTCTGGTTTCTAAACTTTGGTTGGTTTTCATGATCCCAGTTTTCAAGCCATGCATATGTATTGTTTGTCATTATATGTTTGTCATTATATGTATTGTAAAATGCGTGCAGGTTTGAAATAAACTTTTGAAATTGAGTTATTTGCGAATTCATTTAGAATAGAGGCTTTTTAATCAAGCGTATTCTCCGTAATCTGCCATGTGAGCCTTTTCATGTGTTCCTCTGATTTAAATTACTTTGGATGAAACAAGTGGTCCAAATAAACCCCAAACAGAATAAATAATCTAACCATGAGCCCTGAATTTGTTCTGAGTCCTTCTGGTGCCTTGAGGAAAACAAACCACAGCTCATATACGGGACTGTCTCAGAAAATTAGAATATTGTGATAAAGTTCTTTATTTTCTGTAATGCAATTAAAAATCATGAAATGTCATACATTCTGGATTCATTACAAATCAACTGAAATATCGCGAGCCTTTTATTGTTGTAATATAGCTGTTTTTTAATTGCATTACAGAAAATAAAGAACTTTATCACAATATTATAATTTTCGGAGACAGTCCTGTAATTCTCTCTGCTTTCGGGACGCTCCATTGGGTTTGGCTCCATGTTATGGACCTTTTAACTGTGAGCAGATGCCATAAAGGCATCGTTGGGAGAACTTAATCCCACTGAATGTGCTCCATAAAGCGGGTGTGGGGTTGTCAGTACCTCTCCATCTGCTTGTGGTGCTTCTCCTCTCGGGCCTGGGCCTTCATCTGCTGCACCTCGATGGTGTCGGGCTTCCTCCTCCTCATGTACAGCTCGTGGTTTCCCATGCACAGCGCCAGGATGCGCTTGTTGATCCGCAACCGAGGGGCGTAAAACACAAAGTCCTGGAGGAAGGAGGCGTTTTTTTAGATTCCCACCCCCAATTGCAATTTTTCCCACTAATGTAAATGTCTTTAAATCCACATTAACATGAATTCAACAGACTGTAGTAAACAGATAAATGGAGGCAGAAGATGTCTTCCAGTCATCAACGCTCACATTCAGCCACACACAGGAGCTCTATCTATCTATCTATCTATCTATCTATCTATCTATCTATCTATCT